CAACAACAAAAACTAGTTTGTTTCATGTTTTAGTTGTGTTTTCTGAGGAGCTGGTTGATTTCGTTGCAAAGCTTTCTTTGTCACCCTTCTAGACAACATCTTCAAAGTAGGTTGCAGTGTGTAATCAACTTATTTGGATAATTCATTCATTCATTCATTCATGAATGAATGAATGACGTAATTGTATCTCCTGACAATCATTATCTTGCTCGATTGTTAATTTACGTCTCTATTGATCATTGTTTTTATTGACTTAGAATTTGAACTTTCTTGTCACATGTGATTTACTTGTTTATTAGTTGGTAAATTTGGTCTTTAATAATAATGTGTCTTTGTCAGTCACGTATTCATTTGAGTACCATTAGGCTTCTAGAAATTCCCGGATTGCATTTTTGATGTTTCCTTAATCTAAAATGTCAACATTATCTCTATTAAATTGAAAATACCGTTTGAAATTGATACAGCACACAAGTCAGTCAGCCGGCACAATCTTTTCATTCGATATTGTGTAAACCAAAAGATCCAACAGGAAAAGAAGGTAAAATTAATAATATTTACAAAATAAATTGCATGTATAAACTGCAATAAACATTACGTGGATCAAATTGGGCATCCTCTTAGTGTCCGAATCCAAGAACATAAATTAGCTGTGAAAAGATACGATAAAGTGTATTTCTGCCACATCGATGCATGTAGATAATTCCAGACACCGATTAATTGTCTTAATGTTTTTCTTCATTTCCTTACATTCTCAGTGGAATATAGGATGGCTTCAAGCTATAGGCTTGAAATTTCTGTAGCAGTGGTGTTTATTTTTACAGAATGCGGTTGCTAGCCTCATGCTCAACCTTCCTTCTGTACCAGTCTTATTACTGGGTTAGTGAGATACAGGAGTGCGTTGGTGGTCGGGGATCGAACCCTGGACCAGCTGCGTGGTCGGTCAACACTCTACCACTTTGCCACTGACTCACTAATTGTTTTAATGTAGAAATTTTAAGTACAGGAAACACCACATATGCAATCACAGATTTTCTAGAAGCCTTGTGGTACTCAAATGAATGAGCAGGTAACAAAAGCATTAACAGATTGTTTTTATTAGTTGGTTGGAGGCAATCGGTAGGAAGCCTTGCCTGACCTAGATTTCGTGCTTGTTGGCTTCCTGCCGACTGCCTCCAACCATTCAATATCAACAATTCAAAGTGCAGTGTGATGGCGAGCCACCTAGTGGCATGGTGACCACAATGCAAACTTGAATGACTGACTGATAGAATTCAGTCTGCATTAAACAGACATATAGCACCAGTCAGTATCCAATCAAAACACATTACTATAGAACAAATTTTCTTTCCTTCACGTTCCCGGTGGAACATAGGACTCCAAACTAGAAGCTTGAAGTTTCTGTAGAGGTGTTAGTTTTTATAGGATGGGGTTGCTAGCCTCATGCCCAACCTTTCCTCTTTACCAGTCTCACTACTAGCTTAGCGAAGTAAAGGGGTGCGCCGGCCTGGGATCGAACCCAGGACAGTGTGCATGATCAAATTTACCAACTAATAAATCATGTGTTATAAGAAAGTCAGTTACAGCGAAGAAAATTTTCTTTTAGATGAAATCACCAACTAGGCTGTAAATTCGTGTATTTCGTATAATAAATGGGTAGGAAAGTTCCAGAATAATTTCCGGTCAAGGGTCAGATTAGCAGAATTACAATTAGGAATTAAAATGCCATAATAAACACGAGGTGGAGGACGGATAAAATTCAAACAAAGTGGCATCATAATTACTGGAAAGATTGACATTGATTGTGCAATTGGGGGTTAGAAATGTAGAAATAACAACAATAGACAGGATGTTTGGATAATAAAATCTAGTGGGATCATAACTTATGTGACGAATAATTGTCTATGCAATTAGGGATTAAATATGTAGAAATAATAAAACGACAAACGATAGTCAGGAAGTTCGGATACGAAAATATGGTAGTGTAAATAGGGATTAAGAAAAACTCAAAATTAACATGAATAAACAGGAAGTTTGGATAAGAAAGGCAATGGGATAGTCACAATTAGAAGAATTACCTGTTTATGATGGCCGTGTTAGGGACAAGGGTTGGAGGTATTTCTTTTGGATACATAGCGTGGGCTTGAGCATTTGGATAGCTAGTGCCTCGACTATGCTCAGATGTCTTAATTTCACTCCCTTTGATAGGTTTGATCGAATCTGGTACATGATGTTCTGAAGAATTTTTTGAATGGCGCTGAATGTCCTGAATTGACCAGATGTTCTGTCACTGAACTATATGCGCGTTTTCGTTCTCCTAGGCTGGATGGTGTTCACGAGGGCGTTTTTCAAGTTGGCGCATCGTACGGTCGATGTGCTCAGTTCTGCACGAGCAAATAAACTGGTATATGCAGGGTGAAGTGGTCCAATTCGACAGCTTGTCTTTTGCATTCTGGTTGAACAGTTTCTTACAGGAAAACGTGAGTTGTAGGCTCGCTGCGAAGTATGTTTTTCTCAGAGATTTTCAGAGACATTTACGAAGGATTTCTGCTTCAATGTCACCTTTGAATTCTAGACTAAACAGAAGTATCTTCTTCGGGACGGATTGAACTTGTTCGGAAGTCTTCTTTGATTTGAGGTTCTTGTCGACGAACCTAGGCGGAAAACTGGTTTCCGCCGGGGTTCTTTGGAGATTACTCAGTTCTTCATCAATGACCTACTCGCTGTATATCTTGCGAATCCTCGAGGGAAGAGCGTATATCAGGTTCCTCTTTCTGCTTAGGGGCACAAAACTTTGAAAGTTTATGAATTGTCTAGTCCATATGGGCATTTCGTAAATGGACCTTTTCAGAGAGTTGTCAGCGTTTCTTGGCAGATGAACGTCGAGGAAGTGCAACATTCCATCGGATTCGGCTTCAAGAGTAAAGTCGATGTTTCGGTGGGCATTGTTGACTGTTTGAAGTAAGTTTTCAAGGTCCAGGTTCTCATCACAAATGATGGAAGTATCATCAATGTAGAGATGGAGGTTGTCGATAGTTGATGATAAGGGGTTGTTTTCGAGCCTGGCCATAATCTGACTCTTGACCGGAAATTATTGTGGAACTTTCCCACCCATCTATTATAAATACACGAATGTACAGCTATCTAGTTGACGGTGACTTCGTCGAAAAGAAAATTTTTTCGCTGCAACTGTCTTTTTAATAATTCCTATGATCCAATGTGTATATTCCGTGGTTTGATAAGAAAGTTCAAACCACAAGTCAATAAAAATTATCAATAGAGACGTAAATTAACAACTAGTCACGACAATGGTTGTCATGAAAACATACAATTATATCACCAATCATGGAGAATTCAAATAAGTATAATTTCATGCTAAAACTTGCTCTGAAGATGTTGTCTAGAAGGGCGATAACGAAAGCTTCTCACTTAAATCGGCCAGCTCCTCATAGAAGACGACTAATTCAAATTCATCCACTTGAGCTACAAATTTTCTCCATTATTTCAAACAATATTTCGTTTATATTGCTTTTACTATGAATAGAACATAACATATTTCTGGGCTTCTTTCTTTCAATATTAGTTTGTTTATTAGATGTATCACACAGTGAAGAGACAGTATTATTAACTGGATGACAAAGTTCCGAACTCAATCTATTGCTGCTCATAATCATACCAATCAATTATAATCACACGACTTTGAAACTTGAATTTTATAGTCTTCTTTCTTTGTTCCCTCCTATTTGTCGTCGTAGGGGTAGTAGAATTTTCCAGATATCCGTCTGGGACAGGTGTTGAATCATCCCTATTACATGTATTTTCCTCTCATTTGATTCGATGAACAAAGCTTCTGTTATCAATCTCTCCCTCCACCCTGTGACATTAGATTTTAAAACTGTCATCCTATCCCATCCTATTGTGTGGTTGTGTGTAATTGCATTTATTGCTATGGCTGAACTATTCTCTAGATTTCTTATCTTATTACGGTTAACTAGTCTAGATTTTGTGCTCCGCTAGTCCGACTGACGCCGTTCTACTATTATGATCTATGTATTTCACCTGGCCATCATTCCATCAGGGTATTAGATAAACTAAATTGTTTATTTTAAAGACTCCACTGGCAGGATCCTTTAACTGACAAAGCTTGTTTCTAATTGAGTTTGTGGGTTTGAATGCCACTTTTATTTCTGCCTTGTAAAGAATTCAGCGTAAGATTTCCGAGGTTCCTTCCTTGTATGGAAGTATTATTAGTGATATGAATTGCCTGTTGTCGGTGTTGTCATTATCCTGAGCATGTTTGACATGCATGTCGTCATTAATATTATTATTATCACTATCACTACTATTATCATTAATTTTATTTTTACATTTCCCAACATACTTCCTGCTTAATTTATCAGGGTAATTATTAAGTTTCAAAGATTCTCGTATATGCCTCACTTCCCGTTGTAGATTCCCCTTGGTATTATCTTGTATTCTTATCTATTACTTGAAGATTTCACCAATCCTATTTTCACTAACATAGGATGGGATGATTGGAAATCCAAATATCTGTTTGAATGTGTGGGTTTCCTCTAAAAACGCACTAGTATTTAACTTCTAATCATCTTTCCTTTTTACACAGCAATCTAACATTGGAAGTTCTCCTTCCTGACTTTCCAATTCATAAGTAAACTGATGAATTGTCTCCAACTTTGAGTTAATGCGTTCGAAAAATCTATCTATAACCTGTGTTGTAAGTACAGTGAAAGTGTCATCTACATACCTCCACCATACTTTTGGCGTGGGGCTGAACGTTCCAAGTATAAAAGTCAAGTTTCGAAGTCGTGTGATTATAATTGATTGGTATGATTATGAACAGCAATAGATTGTGTTCGAAACTTTGTTTCACTGTGTGATACATCTAATAAACAAACTAATATGGAATTACTTACTACTACAGTGCCCAAGTTTTACTCATATATATATTAATATGAATTATGGTCTTTCTTTCAAAACTTTAGGATGAAAGATCAAAAGATTATCGTCATTTATTGTTGGCGCTTATTGGAGCATAGCCTCTACTCACATGGAAAGTGCTCAATCGATTTTTTTGAAATAACAAAATACACATTGAAGACACATTTCTTGCTTTTATTCTGTTTTTGCTTATAAAACCCAGATGAAATTCGTGCCCAGTACTTTCATAATATTTTTTTCGAAAAAAATATTTTTCATCTATCTGCTGATCTGATCTGATCTGTTTTTCCCCTGAGATTTGGTTTACTTATCTTCTTTTTTGTTTTAGTTAGATACTTATTTCATTTGTGTTGACCGTTTTAAACAAATAAATCGAAGAAATACCTGATATTTACTACTTCTATTATTATTATTTTCATTGTCAGCCGTCTGGTATCCTTTTCAAATTGGCTCCAAGACTTATTACTGGCTGTTTTCATGTCCTTCTCACAAAATCACCTCCACGTCACCCTCAGACCCTCATGCTCAACTCGTCATTACTCATTCAAGTTCCATTCAACAATTAGGGTATGTGATATCACTTGAAAATACATGGGAGACGTGAAGAAAACACAAAGAAACACAGTATGAAAGAAGGCCAGAAGTAGCAGGCGCGACATGAAAGATCTGTGCAGTAGCAGGAGCACTAAGTAGTACAAGAAAAGACCCTAAATGACGAAATAAAACAGATAGAAGAAGAAGCGTTGGTGTTGAAAAACTATCCTATAAAATTCACTAGGAAGAACAAACAATGGTCAAAATAGTGAAAATAGTAATGGTAACATAAATAAGAGAGAATATAAGGCATCTACAGTAGTTTTACCATATAAGGAGGGGGATATTTGAGACCCTACGTAGGATTCTCTATAGAGCAGGAATTAGAGTGGCATTTAAACCTACAAATTCATTCAGGTAGGACAAGCTCTGAGCGTTAAAGGGCCCCGTCGGTTGACCCAATTAGACAAAATAATATAATTTACAAAATTCCTTGCAATGGCTCTGAGTTAAGTCAGCCACACAGGTCACACTAGTAGATTGGGGATAGTCAGTTTGCCAGAACATAAGAATTTAGCCAAGGTAAGAATGGTTGACCCTGAAAAGATAAGTAATTTAGAAAAGAGCTCAGCAGTTGCATCGCGTGCATTAACACACAACCACCCAGTAGACCGGGAGAGGGTTATGATTCTAAGATGTAATCTATGTAGGTGGAGAGAGAGGTTGATTACTGAATCCTTGTTCATCGAGTATACACCCAACACAACACATGCAATAGGAATGACTCTTCACGCATACCGGTAATATGGAAAATACTATACTACTAATCAAGTCAAGAGACGGAAAATAATGGAATTTTATAAACGAAGTTAGAAAATTGTGTGAATGAGCGCCTTGTTATAATTATGAGCAGTGATAAATTGTGCTTGAAATATGATCATCAGTAGATACCACTGCATAACACGCTGTGAGACTTTATCAAAATAAATTTTACCCATAACGGAATTATACTCTACCACCACAATGCACAAGTTTTATTCTTACATCTTTGCGTCATCTCCCTACGCTTGATTTGTGACCACGACCTGTAAGCAATTTGACCTGTGTTGTAATAATTCATGCCTTCTTCTCTTCTATATAACTGTGCATGACAAGTACGTGTGTGAGTGTGTGTGATCAGAATGTCCGAAATGTGTTGCGCAAATACTCACATTACACGTTTCAGATAAACATTACGTCTTCTTATTGTGCTGCCGAAATTCATAAAGGGAACTAACTGCTCTAAATTATTTCTGAAGTAATTAAGTAGCAGTAGAATCCAGGATAAGGCGCATTTCATCCTCTATGGAACCCGTCAGCTATCCAGGTGTACCTGCATTCCCCAGTGAGTGATGTCGATCTCAATGAGACTTGAACCCATCCATCCAGATGATGAGTCCCAAATTGGACAAAATGAGCATCCTGAATTCCACTGCTAGTCATAAACCGTCAAATTACTTCATGTTAGGCCAACAGACATCATCGAAGCATCCATACAAGGAGCCGATATATCCAGCTGGGGCTAAACACTTCGATCCAGTCAATTTAAAAACATGTCTACTGGACGGATGTACTCAAAACTGTTGTGATCAGTAGACTCAAACAAGTCAAAGTGAAATGAGTGCTCATCAAGACGCCGGTGAAAGTAGCGCTGTATCTTGATAAAATTTAGACTGCACCAAACAAAGTCTTAGACTCATGACTGCAGTTCCTACCTAGTGTTCAATCAAAGTATCCGATACAGTCATTCAGAAGGTCAGTCACCACACCAAAAAGCCCAGTGGTAACTCCTCTGACTGCAGAAGTCACTGAGTGACGCAGGTTCATGAGTTCCTTCAAGGTGCTAGATACATCTTGCAGGTTGGTGAGTACCAACAAGCTGGAGACCTAGGTCAGATAGGGCTCCTTGATCGTTGCCTCGAACCACCTAATAACAAAAATTCAGAGTACACCATGATGGCGGGTCACCCAGCACGTTCGCGAAATTCCACACTTCACTGACAAAATCCAGTCGGCACGAAACAAAGGACTAGACGCATTACACGAACTACTAACCTGAAGATTTTGGGGTCTTTTTCCCAGTGCGGTCGTAGATACGCACGAAACAGCTGTATAGAGTCTCTACTGGTTTTTAATGATCTCTCTAAACGATGTGCTGTTTGGTTCGTGAACATATTTGAAATTGCACATTTCGACAACATAATAAGAAAACGTAGTCAATTTATCTGAAACGTGTAATGTGTGTATTCGCGCAACACATTTCGGACATCCTGATCACACACTCCCTCACACACGTACTTGTCATACACAGTTATAAAGAAGGCAAGAAGGCATGAATTATTGTAATACAGGTCAAATTGTGTATAGGTCAAGGTTACAAATAATAAGTAGGTAGATGAAGCGAAGGTGTGGGTAAAAAAGAAAGAAGGGGTTGAAAATATTATGAATATTACAAATTGATCCTTGGTTCTAAATGGAATTATCAGGGCAGTTTTGAAGTAATAACAAATAACTTTAGGACACATAAGACAGGTTTAGGCCTTTTTATGGACAAGGCTTTAACGAATTTAATTATGTGCCCCAATCTTCTTCTATATATGGGTATAGAGGCATTATCGAAATTAACCTTATGACCCGTCTCTACAATGTGCCTCTCTTTGGATGATCTTGGACGTCCATTTCCGGGATCAATAGTATCTGGTGATTTTATTTGTTGTTGCAGCCAATCTCGGAAATGTTCTGTAGCCCTAGCCTGCCAAAACCGATGGGTCCTCCCTATGTACTTGTGTTCACACATACTTGTAAACAGGTAAACGCTGTGGGATATGACACTATTGTTCGAATGCTGTGACGATTTACAGGACAGTATAGTTCTCTTTTTCTCTATGAAGATAAGTTTAGCTGCACAGTAAGTTCTATTAATTACCGCCTGCGGTCTTTGTTTAGTAACCAGATTTTGTTGATCACCTCTGGACGACAAGGATATATAAACATCCTTTCTGTGAGCTGATTGGATTGATAGAGCTCTTTGATTGATATTTCCGTAACGCTTGATAAATCTCAGTGGGTAATTGTTATCAGTGAGGTATTGTGTTTCTTCTTCAGTTGTGTCGGCTGTACATCTTCGGTGAATGCGTTTGAACAAACACTTAACCATCGCCGTTTTACACTGTAGTGGACCAGGACTACGATAATTTAGGTACAGATTCTATTTACATTCAAGACTGATTAAACCATAATGTGTCCACTAAACACTAACATAAGGATCCAATATATTTCTTACATTGATGCGTCACCACTTTTTCATAAGTCCCATATCAGGTTGTGTAAACAAATACTTCTACAAGCCAACTGACGTCGTACACAAACCAACAAAGTCGCTTCACTCAATCCTATGTCAACCAAAAGACTCAACAACGAAAGAAGATAAAACCAATATCATTTTCAGAAGCTTGGCATTCCAGTGAATCATCAATCAATAGACACATAGAGATAGACAAAATTTATCAACCGATAAAAAGGAAACCTCACACACACAAAGGGTCAAAGTTCAAGTCAAAGAAACAATCAGTCCCATTACAAGTAACCTAGAAGGTGTGAAAACACACAAAAACAACCAATCACGTCCAAGGTCACCAGGAGGGATGACTAATAAACTCGTGGAGAAATCGAAAAGCTCACTTCAAATTGAAGTATGCGCTGAAGATGTCACCCAGTAGGGTGATGAAAGCTTCACAAATTTGAATAAAGCGAGAACAACATTGATTTGTGCAGAATAACATGGTACCATCATTTATTTCGTCGGCTTCTCGTCAGCTGCTTCACAAATTATCTATCCAGCTTAGAGAACACAACCACATCAAAATCATCCACCTGAGCTACAAATCTTCTCTATCATATCTAAATCTTACAAACCACTTCTAACTATATTCACCAATTTAAATGTAAGTATAAGAACACTTTCAGTAAAAGAACGGAGTTTGAATGATTGAAAAAAGGAGGTTGGGCTTTTATGTGAACCACTGTCGTTAACAATGCGCCACAACTATTATTATACTGTTCAAGTGTTGGTTTGCAGGGATTTGACTGGTTATAGGATTTTACCATGAACTGACATCGGTTAAAGAACCATAGGAAAACCTGGAAGTTCTGGATAGCTGTTTCGACCTAATTTGGGACTCTTCATCAGTGATCAAGTCATATAGTGAATTGGCAGAAGCTGGAATTCATGGGATGGTTATTGGGTTAGGTTCTAGTGGCTGAGTTGTTCTATGAGTTTGCCTTGTAACCGGAATATCGGTCCCGGGTTCGAGCCCCAGTGGATGAGTACTCGCGATAAGTCCAAAACTAGGACAGAAGGAACACCTCTTTAGTCCTTCAGTTATTTTCAATGACTCTCCAACTGATATCAATCTTTTGTCGAACTTGAAACTTCTTGTTGAATGTGTTTCAGGTTATCAAAATACAGCCACATAATATCAATCCCTGATAATCTCACACCACTTACATGGTAGGAGTGACATAAATTTGACAAGTAGATTCGATACAATTATACAACACACGTTAAAACCATCTTCTTTGGACTGTGTGCAGAAACGAACGTCAATCAACCGTCAACTACCCTGGTAGAAACTTTACATATTCTACATAATTGCAGTTACTACTGATTGCACCGCATAACTAACCATCATCGATATTTTGAACTTATTAGTTCAATCGTCTATAGAAAATATCCAGAAAACCTCTACGATTTCCATGTCATCGTTTTTCAACTCCTACAGATTGTATTTTATTTTCCATTTTGGAGAGTACTAG